GAGTCCCGTCTGGTGTCATCTGCCCGTCTGCTGCATCCGTATGCGTAATCGGCGGCTTCCGCTTACATCCTGCCACCGAAGGACATCCTCGCCCAAGTCGGATTCCGCCGGGGCACTCACACAGACGCACGGCGACACCTTTGTGGCGTATCAAACGGAACTATGCGGAACGAACACGTGAAAATGCGTGGCACAAAGGATACCGGTCCTGCCAGCACAAAAAAAAAAAGAAAAAAAAAAACAGAAAAAGTAACAACACAATGTCAGGGGACAATAACTTCATCCAGGATGAGAAAGGAGCTCCGAGCTGCGAGCTCCGAGGCGGGAACAGACAGCAAAGAGCAGGGGTTGTGTTTCGTAATTTGATCCAGAGGGTGGTTGTTGTTGTTGTTGTTGTTGTTTGGGGGGCGGGTGGCGTAATAGGCGTAAACCGGAAGTTAAGTGTAAAAATAATAATAAAGGTGTGTGCATCCGTACGTATATCTTCGTATAGCTTCCCTTTTTAGGCCATTGTGTTTCGCCCCCCAATAAAAAGACTCCATCCCCACCATTTCCCCTCAGACTTTCCTTTTTTTTTCCCCATTCTGCTCTTCCCATTTTCAATGGCAGAAGTACTTTAATATTTAAAAAGTTACAGCAGCCAGGTTGATTCCATTTTATTACGCTTGTTTCTGTGGAATTGCGATAAATTACAATTCCTTTTAACGCATGTTTTTGGTTTATGCATTCCGTTGAATTTGAAGCGAGTACATTTTGATTAGGATTCAAAGCATCTTATTGGTATATAATTAATGCGATACCAGCAGAGGTATCAAAAACTTTTCCCAGCCCCAAGGAAAGAATGCTTTTATTAAGGAGCGACGGAATTTGTTCAGCTTTTATATTGTTTTCATCTGACGGGGAAGGCAGTCAAAAAGGAATCCCGCCTCTGACAGCTTTTAAAACGAAAGGGGGAAAACACCGGGAAATTTAAGGAATAGCGAAACTGAAGGTTTTTGCGGAAAGCAAGCAATTTCTGTTTACGCTTTTTAATTTTTGCTTTATTGTGCGCAATTTATGTCCCAACCCGTGCGAGTGTGCGAATAGCCGGAAAGCGAAGAAGAGCAATTTTATGGGGCATACGTCAGCCTTCACCTTTCACCTCTCACCTTTTACCTTTTGCCTTAAACCTGAAAACCTTGGACCAACGCAGAAACCACTTCGCAAAAGTTTTCAACCATTGTTGCATTTTTCGCCATGGCTTTTGTTCCTATTCTCTCTGAATAATACGGATGCGTAGCTCAGATATTCGCACATTTCCAAACAGTTTATCACACCCCCTCGAAAAAAAGGAGCCCATGACCACTATTATTACTTATCCCCTTTAATATCCTGCCTGACTCATCAAAGTCACATGTGCGTTCGTACCAAAAGAATTTTAAACAACAAATTTTGAGACTCAGAACCAAAACAAAAATTACGACCTATTTTTCGGTTTTCCAGCCACCACGCACGAAAAAAGTTTGGCTGTTTTTGGGGGGATGAGCGAGTGTTCGCATAAGGAAAGTCTATAAAAATCCACAAATAAAATGTCATTTGCCTGGAACGTGCCTGGCATCTTCTTATAAACTAAATTAAGGATAACATTTGAAAAATTTGCACAAAATAAAATCCAGCCGAAAGGATCCAAAGAATAGAATAGAACAGGACACGAGTCGCGGACACGATGTCCTGAATGCTTAAGTTGAAAATGTTCCTTACCCCAAAAAAGTACACACACACACACATATATATGTATATATGTATATAATAAACATGGAAAGGAAGCAGAGGGTCCAAATAAAGGCGAGGAAAAATAGAAGCTAAGTAAAAAAAGAAAATATACACAATAATTTAAATTGCTTTACAATGAAACCCTAAAATGTCAATAGAGCGGCGCGCTGTTTGCCTTTCCTATTTATTTCACCCACTCCATGGCGACTTCTTAGTATGCAAAGTGTCGTCTTTGCAAGTCCCATGCCTTGGAGAAACACCCTCCTCATTGCCACTTTGTTGGCTTTTTCATTTCATTTGCCAGCAGGGCCATTGAAGAAAAGTAGATAATACTTGTAGGAGTGCGATAACCCCTGATCTAAAAATATGCGACTGCCGAGGAAATTTTGTAATTAAATCATATATTCTAGTTCTGATTGTAGTTTTTTGATATCAGAAAACATTGAGCAACATATGCTGCTTCTATTAATTATTTGGTCGCACTAAACGATGCAGTGTGACCAAATGTGCCTCAAAATTGTGTTAAATGTATTGTATACATTTTATTTCAGTAAGTCTCCAGAGTCGGTCATTTTTATTATGATTTCGTATCCGCGTTATCGTAATTTTGCACTCCCTTTCGGGATAAATATCTTTTTACACCCAAATGTGCGTGCATCCAAGATTGGGGATGTGACTTGACAAACTTTTATTTACCATTTACCAATTTTTTGTTGCTGTTTGTTCGCTGTAAATCCGAAATCCGAAATCCAATTGGAGATGAGAGCGACCACACAATGTCGGCACGTACGCGTTGTGCTAAATATTTCAACACGATTCAACAAACTACTCACTTAGCTGGCTGAAAAGAAAAGAAAAGTCTTCACTCCGCAGAAGAAGCTTAAAAAGCAGAGCACACTGGGCATGACCCGCAAGCATTTGCACTGCATTTAAAAAACATTTGCGGTTTTTACGCTTAATCATCGTCAGCGGGCGGTGTCTTTCCCGGGAGAACAGAGAAGGGGGGCGTGGCGGGGTGCGTCTATATATTCCCAGCCGACATCATTTCCTAGCTTGAAATTCCCAGCACGCTTGTATATATTAATAAAAATGCATTAGTTCACATTTATTTTCGACATAAAACGTGTAAAAGTAAGCAAGGCAGTCGGACAGAGCGAGCTGGAAATAATGTGGGGGAGTGGGGGATAAAAGACAGGGACAGACAGGCCAAAAGGGATCCCGGGGGGCAGCTTGTGGAAGATTTCACTCACCTAGAGACAGCGGAAAAGCGGAAAGGCGGCGGGGGCGACCCAGTGGACGCTGGCTGCACAGAGAGAAAATATACCACAGAAAGGTTGATTTCAGTAGGTAAAGTAGAATAACCTTTTACAAGGACCTTTCAGTTTAAAAATGTCTTGGCAAATTATAGGCTGATTTTATGGTATAATAGCCAGCATTTTATTTATTTCTCGCTCTGTGCTGTGATACTCATTTAAAGCTCGGCGACTTTTCCTTTTATTTCAACGCTTGAAAGCAAAATAATGTACACGACAACACCACCACCCCCTGAAACTCGCATTTCCACCCACCCAACCACCGCCGCAGACAACCAACCTGTGCACTTTCGCTCTCGGTGTGTCTATGCCAGTCGTAAATTTTAGATATTCGCAGCACGTGCAAATTATGTACAATAATAAAAGGCAACGGCGGAAAGAAGAGTAATCCAGAGCGAAAGTAAGACGAGAATGGGCCCAACTGTTGTGCGGAACTTGTTGTTGTTGTTGTTGTTGTGCTACTCGTACAACTTCTACGCCCAACTCCGTACGCTCTAAATGTCTGTCCCCGCGTCTCGCTGACGACTGACAAGTACATAAAACATGTCTGCGCCTAAAAGTCTGCTGCATTTTCAATGCCCGATGCCCAATGCCCCGTGCTGGATATCGATTGTCTTGCTGCTCCACCGGATTGCCCAGAATTGGGGTGGCAACTAGGCGAACTTTCGCCACCGTCACGAACTGGCAACAAGTGTTGGAAAGTTCATACTTCCTGTGTTCGCCTCAGCCTGGAAAAGTGATAGAAAACGGAAATGACATCAGCAGTGCCGTGAAAAACTCTGTATTACTTAAAGCTGCAGAAAAAAAACTTAACTTACCTTAAATCTGCATTATAGTTCAAGTGTTTTACAAAAAAATTATCCAAAACTGCACATCCATAACTTTTTCATTAACGTTTGAATTCCTAGAAGGTCGAATCTTTTTTATCATTGCTAATTCCATATTTCCATGCTTTCCATTTAAACTAAATAATTGACCACGATTATTAGCGTTCCCATGACAAATAAAAAAGGACCCACTCTCTATGTTATTTATTCATGGCTTCCCCTGAATTTATGTCCGATTATACTTTGAGGTGTTAAAAGTTTGCCGACCGCACTTTTTGCTAACCACATTTAGGCGGTAAAATATTTCCCCGAACGACCATTGACGACTTCCTTGGGCATTCCTCTGGTGCCGAAAATCAAGGACTGACTCTCCTTTCGGCAGACCAATTGCCGCTCCCAAGACATTGCATAATATTTAACACTCGACGACCCTCTGATGCTTATCATTAGCAGTAGAAATCCCCCAACACACAAAAACTTTTTCCCGCATTTATCATCCCTGTAGGCGGTTTTTCTGAAAATTTTATAATTGCTTCAATATTTCGCTCTTCCGCAGTTGTCGTGCTGCGGCAGCGTTTTTGTGTTTGCCACACGTTTCATAGCCATAACAAATTACTTAGGTCATCAATTATAAGGTGAGACACTCGCACCTCAAGCTTCTGGTTTTTCGGATGGTTTTGTTTCTGTTTCTGGTTCTTGGTGATGCTTTTATTGCTTTCATTATGATTTCATGGGGCGTGAGACACGTTCCGGGTCGCTTTTCCCCCGGAAAATTCCCCAATTTCCACTGGTTGGCGACCATTTGTCTAACTTCAGGTCGTCAAGTATTTGGCGCGGTTGTCCGTGGGTCTGTGGGTGGCTTTTGTTAATAATGTTATCTTTTATTTAAGAAGCGTAACTTTTTGTTTTTCGCTTTAACTTTTTCATTGGGTGGGGTGAATGTAATTGCATTGGGTTCGTGTATTTTATTTAAAGCGTGTCTGAGTTTTTATGTAGTACTCTTACTTATTATGCACTTGGGTAAATATTAAATAAAAAAGTTTAATTATGCTGGAGTTTTTACCTTAATACTCCAATCGAACCAACCAATATTGAACAATTTTTTTAGTTATCGATTCAATGTCTTTATATTTTAAATATATTAAACAACTTTTGCTTAGAAAGTACACAAAATAAATAAATGCCCAATGGCAGAGAGGCTGGCAGTGCCACGCATAACAAGATCGAGTGGCTGTAAAGCCGGTGGTTTCGGTGGTTCCTTTGCTGCTTTGGTGGATGGTGGTGCAAGGACTGCGATTTAGGGCTTGTAGGTGTAGGCACCTCCGCAGTTCTTGTGGCACAAATAGCTGGGGCGAGTGCGCCACTTGCGACAATATCGCCGATAGCAGCTGTTGGGATTGGGCGACGGCGGGCGGTTGGTGGGTGGCTGAACGGTGGGTGGCCTGTTGGTGGGTGGCTGAACGGTGGGTGGCCTGTTGGTGGGAGGTTCCACTGTGGGTGGCCTAATGGTGGGTGGTCCAATTGTGGGAGGTGCGATTGTGGGAGGCTGGTTGGTGGGTGGGCCATAGGTGGGCGGGATCTCAGTGGGCGGCTGAACCGTTGGTGGTGGGTTCGTTGGTGGTGGGATCGTTGGTGGTGGAACCGTTGGTGGTGGGACCGTTGGTGGTGGGACCGTTGGTGGCGGAGCTGTCGGCGGTTCCGTAATGGGTGTCACTGTGGTGGTGCTGCCGCAGTCATTGGCCACAGTGGTGATCAAGTGGCTCAGCAGATCAACCAGCAATAGAACACTCAAATCCACATCCACCAGCTGAACCACATCGTTATTGTTTCCAATGATCTCAGTGTCAGGTCCGGCTATTAAAATAAAAATTCCCCAGTTAGAAAAAGGCTTTACCCCGCGATTTCGGTGAGATGTTCACTTACAGTTTAGCTTGTTGCAAACGCCTCCACTGCCGCGAATAATGTTGAGCACATCGAGGAAGGCCAACACCCAGAGATCAACGTTGATCAGCTTCACGATACGATTATTATCGCCGATAACCACTGTCTTCGGTCCCTCTGCGAAAGCAAAAACGAAAGTAATGGGTTAATAAGATGTCAAGGGTTAAGGGTTCACACTTCAAACTTACTGTTAGCTGAGTTGCCAATTAGTCCTCCCAATCCCAATATGTTGGTAATGCTGCTCAACAGGGGAATATCAGCCAAAACCAAGCCATGGACATCCACCAGTCGCACGATGTTGCTGCCGTTGCCTCGGACCAAAGTTTGAGGATCGCTGGAGGCGCTGTTTCCAATGACACCGGAGGAACCGCCAGAAGAGCCTCCACCACCCAAAAGTCCGGTAACGCCGCCAAGAGGGCTTGAAGAACCGCCGGAAGAGCCGCCATCCAAGATGTTGGTAACTGCTCCAAGTGGACTGGAAGAGCCGCTGGAAGAGCCGCCGCCCAAAATTCCACCAACGGCGCCCAGGACACCGCCAACAACCGGTGTTACTGTGCCAAGAACACCGTCGACAGTGGGCTCCAATGTGTTGACAACACCGCCAACAATGGGACCCAAACCACCGACGACACCGCCAACGGTACCAAGGAGTCCACCAAGCAGACCATCAGATGACCCCGAGGATCCAGTCAGGCCACCCAATGCACCCAATGGAGAGGAGCTGCCACTTGAGGCTCCGCTTGAGGATCCGCCAGAGGATTTGCCTGTGAGACTGCTAAGGGCCGAAACAGCCGCCAAAACGGGAACGTTGGCATCGACGACCTTGGTAACGGTATTGTTATCGCCCCTTATAAAGACGTCTTGTTTTTCTAAAAAACAAGAAACATAACGACGATGTTATCAAACAGTCATTGAAGAACCTTGAAATGAGTTAGCTTACTATTGAGGGTATTGCCAAAGCCAGTTCCGGTAATTGTGCTAAGAACGGGAACATTAGCCAAAGCATCGACATTGGCATCAACTACCTTTGTAACTTCGTTGTGATTACCAACCACATCGACATTGGGTCCGACTATTAAAAAAATTAAATTAAATAATCAGTAACTGGTTATGGGTTGAATAACTAGGATGCTTACTGTTGGCGGTATTTCCCACTGAGGATCCCGAAGAGGAACCATTGGAGGAACCAGCTGAAGAACTGCTGGGCGAACCACTGGGAGAACCAGCCGAAGAGCCGCTTGAAGAACTACCCAAAGAAGAACCAGCAGGAGTTCCTTGATTATTAATGACACTGAGAACAGGAGCAGCCAGAGAGATTGGAAGTCCAAGATCGAGGAGCTTGAAAAGGAAGTTCTGATTGCCAGTAAGACTATCGCCTCGCACTGAAATCACAAGTAAATATTGTAAATATATTATTTAGCAACAAGAATGATGTGTAAAGCCTCACCGTTCGCAATGTTGCCCACAACGGATGGAGAAGAACTAGGAGAAGATGAAGGGGCAGCAGAACCAGAAGAGCTTGGGGTTCCGGAACTAGTCGATGGACTGGAAGAACCAGTGGACCCCGCACTCGGTGAACCAGAAGATGAAGATGAAGAAGAAGAAGGCGAACCAGACGAAGTTCCACTATTGATATCCGACAAAACAGGGGCACCCACTAAAGCGGGGACTCTCGCACCAAGTAAGCGGTTGAAACTGTTTCCTGTTCCATTGAGAACAACATCAGAGCCCTCTGCAAATTGATGAAAAGAAACCAGTAAAATGGAAACTAAGGTATACAAAAGACACGCCTTTTCCAGCAACTTACCATTAAGAACGTTGCCATTGCCAGTACCAGTACTGCCGATCGGAAGAAAAACTCCAGCGGGCACATCAGCAACAATAAGATCATTAACAGTGTTTAAGTTTCCGATTTCCTGCACCGAAGGTGCCACTAGAAATACAAACACAATTTAATAATACTGTGAAAAATAAACTATGAAAAGCTTACGGTTGAAATCGTTGCCCGAACCCACTGAAAAAAAGGAATAAGAAAAGGGAAAATGTTAAGAAAAAAATTTTAAAAGAAGCAAATATGTAGTACTTACAAATGGCTCGCTTTGCGGTGGCAGCAGCTTTTGGGCTAACCAGGGACTTGGCGTCTGTGAGGTCACCGCCATTCACACTGTTCAATGCTGCGGCGTTGGTGATTTCGGCGGATGTGGCGGATGTGGAGTTTGCAATGGTGCGATCAAGGGCGGTCATCAGGCCCATGAGCACCACCTTGTCCACGCCCATCGCCAGAAGGCGAACGATCCAGCTCTCGGGAGCAGCGGAGCACAAGCCACTCGACTTACCCTCGGCAATGGTCGACAAACTATCGAGCAGCGAAACGGAAAGCATACTGAAGGCATTCACCTGCAACAGACTGACCGAGTCGGGACCCACTGAAAAGGATGCAAAATGATATCCAATAGTTAACAACTATCATTGGAAGTGAAGGTCCTTTACCAACACTCACTTTCTCTCAAATTCCGGATGATCTTGTGGGCCTCGCCGCCCGAAGCTCCGCAAACCTGCAGCAGGGTGTTCAGTATGGTGCTCAGTTCGTTGATGTTGCGTGCCTGCAGGAACTTCAGCACCGTTTGGCGATCGTCCTTGGTCGCCGTGGCCACTCGTCGAGCGGTGCGGAGTCCCGATCCCTCGGTCTGCTGATCATCGATCATGCTCTTCGCCTGCTGACGCTGACGCGCGTGAGTGCTCTTGATGACCTGAGCCACCTCCTCTTTGGCACACTCGATGCCATTGAAGAAGCACAGGGCGAGGAAGGATTTCAGCGACAGGGTGAGGCTGTTCCTGTCCTGCGACTGGTCGATATCCTGGATGATGCGAGCGCAGGTGGCGTTGTTGCGAGCTCCAATCAAAATGTCAATGATCACATCCATGCCGACTTGCAGGAACACATCCTTGCCCTTGGTATCCTTGGGCTCCTCACTGCGCAGCGACTTCATGGTGGACTCCTGGAGAGCGGTCAATTTAGCGCCACGTGCCTGCATGCTGGCCAAAAGCAAATCGGCGAGGTCCTTGGAAGCCAAGCGTCCGATGTTCATCACTCGCGGTGTCCTCGTTGAAGATTCGGTGGTGGAGGTGGACTGTTCCGTTGTGGTATCACTAATAGTACTGCTAACCGTACTACTTCCGGAATCCGTTTCCAGGAGCAACGTGGCCAAGGTGGTCGTGGAGGTCGATGGGGTTGAGGAGGTCGCGGAGGTCGAGGAGGAGAATCCAACCGTGGATCGCGTCATTGGCTTGGCATTGTGCGGCACCAGGAAACAGGTGGACAGAATGAGGAACAAGTGCAGGCGCCACATCTTGATGGATGGTTGTTCTCACTGACTTCTCTTGTCGGTGATTGATAGATTTGGCCCCACCTCGCAGCTCTTTTATACGAATTTAATTCGCTTATCACCATGTAAGCCCGGCGAGATTATCGGCACAATCTCTGGCATTCTGTAAAACGTGCCTGCCCGACATCAATATCACTGTCGATACGCTCGGTGGTGCATTGGGCATTCTTCGTTATGCATGCTCGGTGGCAATCTGCTTATCTTCTCTGCTTAGTGAGTGAGGTTTACTTGAGGAAATCTGCTTTAGAGCGGTGCTCTTCGTAGATTGCGATCGAATTGAATTTGGACATTCATGTGAATTGCAAGTTTAAGTTGGCTGAGTGCTCTTACGGTTCATTCTAAGAAAATCAAGATCAAAGCGACCCATTTTCATTTCATTAGGCATTATGTACTTTGCTTTCTTTTTGTTTAAAAAGCATATGCGTTTAAGCTCAATTGATGCCTTTTAACTCAACTTAGTGCCGTATCATTTAAACTAAATCTCTCTCTTAAGATTAAACTCAATTTACACTGTCTTCATTGATCGCAAAGTTGTTTATTCACTCGCAAAACAAAAAAACCTCGTTGATTAATATTGTCAAATACCTTTGAATGTCTCACCAAATTTCTCATACCCCTGCCTAAATGTTAGATTATTCCAGTGACCCAGAGAGTTTGAGGAGATATTCAATTCTTCCGGCGATGGGGGCACGTAACCTCAGCTGCCCCGAAAATTTCCGCATAGAGATATCCAATATTTGAGGTTGTATAAATTAAGAAAAGCCGTCAGCAAATGTGTGCAGTTTCTAAAGTGCTTAGAACAATTAACTTGAACAAAATGACAGCCTTGAATCGGGATCAACGTCTTGTGTTTCTGTTGGCCATATTCTCGATATGGAGTGGTTGTGTTTGGAGAGTTTCAGAGGCGCAGACCTTTACTGCTGAGGATCGTAACTCCATACAAAAGTTCATGGACTCGCTGATAAATTTCCTGGAGCTGGAAGCGAGCAATATAAACACCACATTAACCACTCCTTTGAATGGCACTAGTGTGGGGACCACAACTTTGGCATCAGTAAATTCCACAGAGTTAACAACGGAGACTCCAGTAACAACTGCAGACCCCACAACTAATGTTTTGGATGGCTCCACCTCCACTTTGGATTCTACAACGGTGGCCTTCAACCCTACAACTCCTGAAATAATTCAAACTACGAGAAGACAAAGGATTTGCTTTAAGCGATTTTGCTACAAATTCAGCAACGATAAGGGATACATAATATAGTTAAAATAAATCTTTCCTTGAACCTATATTTCTTTTGTGATTTTTCTTAATACGACTATCCTTCAACTGGCTTTCAGAAGAGAAATAAATATTTACCCAATAGATTAGTAATAACAAAAAATGAAAGAGGCTTTGTTCTTTGTTAAGCCTTTGGCATAATTGAAAAGAGCCATTATTGTTTTAGTTGTAAGTCAAAATGCCTGCAGAGATCAGAAAAATATTTACATTCATGCAGTTGTCTTATGTATAAAGAAAATATTTCGCATTTCTGGCAAAGTTTAAGTCTCCCAGAGGGCTTAACAAATTATTTCAATTAAAAGTTTTTGAGCAAAGCACTTAATGCCAACACAAGTTGGCCGTTTATGTGCGCAAATCTTAATTGCGCCAAAAATACATGCTATAAATTTGTATCTTAACCAGCGAATGTGTGTTCGTCTGCGTGTCTGTCTCTCTGTCTGTCTGTCTGTCGTTCTGTCTATCTGTCTATCTGTCTAGTGGAAAAGGCCAACTCAAACTGACAGCGAAAGCCCATTGGCAGAAGCTTTGTGGCTTTTCATTGAGTCGTAAACAAATGAAATTTAATTCGTGCAAAGATTTACTTGAATTTTGTTGTGCAAATAGTTGAATTTGAATGTCAACGATGTGGCAGCATCAACTGGGATTCCCCCATTTTCCGTTCACCGATTCTGCATTCTGAATAATCAGTATCATATGCATGTGTGTGTGTGTGTGAACGGCCTGCATGGGTGTGTGTGTGTGAGTGTGTTTCCTTCGGCTATTCTGTGAACTTTGCTTGTGGTTGGGCTTCATCGCGCCACGTGCCTGTGTCATTTAATTACTGACTATATTGTTATTATTATTTACCCCCCATATATATATATATATATGCGTGTCAACAACTTAACGAAGTTATCACACAGTGGGAGTGAGGAAGTGAGATGGCAGATAGAGCGACAGGGACGGAGAGAGAGACGCACGCACACCATGGCAGCGGATTAAGCGACCGCCGCGTGAAGCACTTTAAATTAGTTTCGTTGCATAAACAAATGGTACATGCTTTTCTTTTCATCATGGCTGTCAATTTGGCTTCTACATTTTCATTATTTTCCAGCGCTGTCTGTTAATATTATATTGAAAGCTTAGACTTGAACAAATATTGCTTTATTCGCTATAGCTGTTTTAAAATGTGTTTTTGCATTTCATTTAAGCATTAAGGATTATGCTTACTGAAAATAAACTTTGTTTTGCTTTCATCTTTTCTGCCTTTGTGGAAATATTATCTCTGTTTATGATTGATTTCATCGTAAAAAAAAATAAACTATTCTTTTAGTAGATTTTGGGCTCCTTTCTTACTCGTTGACATCACTGTTGGTGGTGAGTTAAGGGTTGGATAAAAGTATATACTCTATAGCTTGCAAGACAATCCCCGCGATGAGCTTATCAAACGTCAGCCGTCAACCCCCCTGAAACATCCAAACCCCGTGGATATTGTTAGCTTGTGTCAGTTTCTAAGCGAAAAAACATATTCAATTACAATTTAATTAAGCTGATTTAAATGCGCTTGTGTGACGATAGTTAAAAGCAAACACCACGAATGCAAACGGCAACAGATGGAGCGATATTATATAGATGGAACTACAAACTATAAATGGGAAACGAAACGAAACGAGTATCTAAATGGAATCCGTTTGTTGCTGCTGCCTCCTTTTGTGCTTCTATTTTTCCGCCCCAGGCATTCAAATTATTTATTGCATACCCACTGGCAGCAGCTTAAATTTGTGGGAACAGATTGGATGAGAACAGAATTGAATTCGAACACAAGATAAATATATACATATTCGATCGTCAGTGACATCTGCATATTCTATTCCTTATGAGTTTGTTTCAAGATTATTTTAGTTGCATTTTATTACTCCTTAAAAATGTCTTTCTATAAAATATTTTTTCTTTACCCATTTACTTTTTATACCCTCTGGTATTATAATTTCAGTCATTGAAAAAATGTTTGATTTTGTGATTTTTGCAAATTAACATGGTAAATGGAAAATGTAAAAAAAAATCAAGATGCGATTTTAACAATCAACATGCAATTTTTACGTTGCAAATTTAAAACCTGAACAATTTTAGATAACATAAAGTTAACATTAATTTTAATTTTTTTTTGAAAGTCATCGAAAATATAGAAACTATAGATAGATCGACACAGCTTTGATGTTGTTTAACCCTTATGTTTTATGTTCCACATATTTGATGATTGTTTCAAATGAAAGGAGTCCTGGTCTTTCTGATTTACTGCATCATTCAGGTTCGTTATTGATTTGCATCTATAACGGCCACAAATTTCCCTGTTAGGTAAAGTTTCCAGCTCTTCCCCACGTGTTCTTCCCCAATTTTGTTCGAGGGGTTCGCACGCGCCGCAGCGACACTTGACCCACCAAATGACCCTTGCGATTATCGATGAAAGTGTTGTTCCGATTTGCAATTTTACAGGCTGTGCACGCTCCACGTTTACCCGCTCCGCCGAAAACCATTTTACTCCTTTGTTCCGTGAGGGGTAGCAGTGAAGGGTCAGGGGTCAGGGGTCGGGGGTGGGACACACTGGCGACTGTACTTTTGCCATAATTTTGTCTCGAGTTGCTCGCCCTCGAGACTGTTTGCTTTTCTGGTCTAGGGCACTGACAATGGACCACTTATCAAAAGGAACACCTACCCGAAAAGTTGCGTAATGAGCAGCCGAGCAAAATGATGTACACTTCAAGAAAATCTTCATTGCTTTCCAAAAATGTGTTAAATCAATTATAAGGAGTAGTTTCCAATTAATTTTAGAAGTGATTCGTAGTATAATATTAATTTTTCGCAGTGCACTGAACACAAAAAGCAAAGGAGGGGAATACAATCGAAAGACTTAGACGAAAAACCCAAATCTAGTTAGGTCCGATTAAAAATGAGTGCTAATCGCATTAGGGCAATAAGGCGATGATGCAAAAAGCATGTAGCAAGTGCAGTTCTATATAGATAGCCTGAGGATATTATGGGGCAGGGTTGGCAGATTACAAGCTGCCAATCCACTTGGCACTTGGTTCATTGTTCCGAGGGTTGCCCGAGTTTCCCTTTTTTGTACTCAACTCATATTGTTTTTTTCCACCATCGCGTCCATTGTCCCGGACACGTTTTTGGGTGAAACCTAATCCGCTTAGCGCACAAGTGAGTGATGAGCCAAGGACAATAAACGATCCCGAAAACCGATCATGACGGATGACGACATGGCACAATATGCTTCGAGAACTTTATTGGTTGACAATGATAGCCGGAAAATGTCGAAAACCTTGTGCCTTGTGGGTCCTGTTTGCCCATGGATATGTCATCGGCTCACTCCGTCAGGATCACACCTTATAACACTATTATATATACTCGACTACTGGCTGGTCGTTCTCCTCGCTAGAAATATCAGTGAGTTCCTCGAACTCACTGTCGCTCCCAAAAACATATTCCTCAATTTCGGCCAACCAAATCAAGTTCATATCGATTTGTACTTGAGCGATCTCTTCCTTGAATTCGAAAACTTCGGGAACAATATCTTGCAAATTTTTCTGCATATTCGGTCTTTCCCTTTTCGGCTTGCAAGTCAATTATTAAACCCTTCAAAATATTGTAATGTTCAGTTACAAAATTTAGAAACACAAAACTTGAACCGACTTCGATTTTTGAACTCTCTTGCTTGACAGAAATAGACAAGATAAACCTATTTCTCTTTGTGTGTATAAACATTTTATAACCATTACACAAAAAGCATTCGGATTGAGTGAAAATAAATTCCAAACCTCTTAACTGCGATCATTTGTTGGGTTCCTGGTCGCACCATCTGAATATATATCCGATTATCGGAAGCGGAAGAGCTAATTCAAATAGAGGCGAGCCTGGATTTTGGTTTTTGGTTCTTGGTTTTTCGTTTTCGTTCTGTTTCTGGTTCTGGCACTTTGATTTTGCCTATGGATATCCGCCTGCAATGTGTGGCGTTGGCAAATATAAAGCCGATGTGCAACTGCGCCTTACATAATCACACGGCGCACGGCGGCCTTTGTTTCGCCTTTGTTGGTTTTATGGCCGCCGTGGATACAAAGGAAAATCCGACGTAACCGAAAACCAAAAACCCCGAAAAACCCAAAACCTAAAAACCAAAAAGAAACCCGTAGACAAAGCGGCGAAGAAATTCGCTAGAAAATGCCACGCGGTAACGACAAATATTGACATTTCCTTCGTTTGGGGCTGGATGCCCGGATCTCCACGCACGGAGCGCGAAACCCTAAACCGAATTTGGGAACGAAGGCCACGCTTCCATCGGTAAATAGCGCATAGAACTCCCCTCCTAGATTAGCGGTTGGAAAGTGGATGATATAAGGCAGGTTCCTGTGGTTACAGAAACGATCGGATTACGTTCGCACGGTTTTTGTTCTTTTTTCTACTTCCATTGAGCTGATCTATCGTTTCCCAGGTTCTGGGTTTCATAATTTGTGGTCAAGCTGGTCAGATAGTTGCTGTTAGATAGATAGACAAAACTATGCTGGTACTTTCCCCCAATTAATTAAACAATTAGCAATGCTCTAATCAAAACTGTCCAATTAGGGAAGCGAAAAATAAGAGAGTATCTAGCTGAATTTCGATATATCTGGGAACCCAGAACATCTTTTTAATTGAGCCATAACTTTAACATAGCAAATTCCACAGGGTAAACACACGTTAGACTGAATGGTGTACCATCCTCCCAAGATGCTGGCAATGTCCTCCCACTTAAATGAAATCCTATCCCTTTGACCACAACAAAGCGTCCTTCAGAGGCAGGCGGGCTAAGCGACGCCTAATATCACAAAAAGCTAATAATTATAGCTCGAAAAAAAGGACAAGCCGCAGACGCTGCCTTCATACCCCTTAACTTCTCAATGGGAATTAAAGCATTATTATTCTCATTCTGCAAGGAAATCAATTGACTAACAAAAATTTAACTTGCAATATTTCTTTAAATTGTTAAAGAACTTCCTTGATAAAAATGGTTTTTGTTCAATCCAAAACCTATCAATTAAATGAAAAATCCCTTGTGATGTATACGTTTTTATAAAAAACGGGGTATTCTGACGTTGTAATATGAATCCACTGCCTTTTCAATTTTTTCCTGCGATGAACAGGGCTCAGTATTGCGTTAAATGGCAACGCATTATCCACACATTCCTCGCTCGGCACGGGTGAGAGAAGCCCTAAATTTGCACAACTCCCGGAAATGTTGGCATGGGAATTATTTTGTTACATTTTTTTTTTTTTTGTGTTCGCATACCGCCCATGGCCATATAGCCATACACCCACCCACACACACACATGGCAGACACGTTGATAAAATGTAGCTTCAAAGTAAGATTGCTGGGCCGCACCACAAGCGGACATACTTTGTGTTTGACCACATGGCATAATGAGAGAGCCCGGCAGAGGACAAAGGAGCCCGGGGACTCAGGACTCACGGCTCAGGACTCAGGTGCATTTCCGCCAGAAGGTGCGGGCGTTCGGCAGAATTTCTGTGGTCACAGGACACACGGCGATTGCCCTTGCAATCCGCTTGAGTAGGTGTAAACTTCGAGTGTTATTGCCCCCTTCCCACTGTACTGAAAAAAATACCATAGCGTTTTCTCTTGTTTCTTGTGAAAAACTATGCTAAGCACGCGACATGACAACCGAGAAACAAAAACCAGGATATTGGGGATGACCGTGGGTCCGTTTTGTTTGTTTGTTTGTTTGGTTCTTTGGTGGCGTCTCGAATATCCTGCTGCTTGCCAGCTAAACAAAGCGAAACGAAAGTCTGTCCGGATTAGTGGACACATCCGGGGTCCTTATTGAACCTCGAAAGTTAATTAAAGGTTTCACAATCTATGCACAAAATGTCAACGCAACGACGGAAAGTAAAATTGGGTCTGGCCGTCCATTGAACCGCAAATGAGTTTCGAGTTCCAGACTCCGGGCTCTGAACCGAACCCACCTACCACCTACCTATATATGTATATAGTACATACATGTCCACCACCCGCGGCGACGGGTTCGTAATTAGCTGCGGCCGACGCTAATAGTCCTTGCCACACCCCCTGGCCATTGTTCCAATGTTCGGGTGTCAAATTTGAGCCTCCTTTTAGCCTGTTTTCGAATGCACAAATTCGCATTATGCCGTCGACATTTTGGGTCAGATTAACCGTCGCCAGGTGATTGCAACAGCCATTTTCGGCACGTTTTGGAAAGACTGCAGGGGTGTCAATATTTAGAGAACTGAATTTAAACTCTCGAGTTAAAGAAAAGTTAACTTAGGATATTTCCACCACCCTTCTAATGGATATTTTCTGCGATCCCCCTCTCTTGCAAAAACTTTTAAAATCCGCTGGAAAATGTCGTTTAATTAAATCAAATCGTTAGAGAACCAACAGGAAATGAACTGGTCGCAATTACCGTTACCCAATGGTGACCCCGATCCTGTTCATTCTGCCCTGCGCTTCCCTTCGAAAATGGTATTTTCTAACCCCCCAACTCCTTCGTCCACGTTCGTTTTCTCCACACCCACAAGCAATAATTTTTCGGCAATTTAATTGAAAACCAAAAATGGCAAAGTTCTCCTGGTGGTCAAGGGAGCGAAATGTTTTTAAAACACAGGGGCGGGTGGTATCGCCCTGAAATTGAGTCCAGAGTCGGGGACAATACGCATATCGGGGCACGCGTGCGCAACAAAAGCAGACAAATGGTCACAGTCACGCGCCAAGAGCTAAAAGGTCAACAAACAAATAAACAATCCATAGTCCGAGCAAAATGGATATAAAACCGAGTAGGGGGTGCTGAAAAATAAGGGTCGTCTGTGCAAAATCGAAATGATTCGAATACCAGGCATAGTTCAACGGATTTTGCGGTCACCATTCGAAAGGGAAACTAGCAGTTTTAGAACGTTGGGGGGTTTTTGCTATTTGGGCGGAGGGTTCAGCTCATTAAGGATCAACTGTGAAAATATTTCATGTCCATTTATTGTCCTCATGGTTTAATGAAACTACTTTCCTAAGTCCAAAGAAGCCTCATCAACTTGTTTTGGGCTCTGGTGTCAAAGGTTATGTGGGGAAAGGGAAGGGTCCATTTAATGGTATAATAATAACAGAAGGGTTCAATGGGTACACTCCACTAGTTGAGGGGTGTCCATGGACATCCTGGCAATAGATACTCATTAACCCATTTGTAGCAACTCAGTGCTCGAAAATGAACGACTCTTGGAAAAACAACAGCACAAAATAAAATTATGGACGTGTACTTATTATGTACTTCAATAAAGAACCCTTATAACCTGAAAATAAAACAAGACATCAACACAACAAAGCCCTTAGCTCGATGAAAAAATAAAACCATTAAATTTGTGTAAGGCAGCAAATAAATCTTTGATTTCCGCCGTCGAAGTCCTGGCAAATGAAATCATAAGACGACTGCTTGAAAATCAATTAATTATTGTGCATCCGACGGTGGCACCTTAACCTTTAGTTCATAAACGCAACAGTATTCGAGCATCTGAGTATGTGCTTTGTGTGTTCGATCTGAAAACAATAATTCATCATTTTGCCCGCTGAATAGCTGTCGTTTCTGTGGACTAATGATTCCCAGCTGAAGTTCTTGGCCAAGACGGCAATTGAGATTGAGTTTTGTTCTTTGGCTCGAACAAAACCTGCCAGAAATTAAAAGGAAAGAGGGAGATGAAACTGTACGGATCTAATTTCTTTGCTATAGAGTTATTAACCATTTCCTAATGGTTTAAGGCTGCGGTTACCGTCATTTGAGAACACATTCTAGAATCTAGATGCACCACAAAAATGCAGGTGTTCGTCGACAATTCGAGCCCGATAACCGAACTCGATCCGGGCTACAAATTGGAACAGAATTGCCGAGATCGCTGAAGATTGATTCGAGGACCACCCATCTAAAGAACACTCACATCCCACAGGGCATCTTAATCGACGTCTCAATTTGTCTGGCTCGCCATCAAATCAGGTAGCAGATCATCGGATATCGAGATCATAGGTGAGCCGAAAACATTTCAAGTGGATTTGAACCTCTAAGGTTCTTCATTTCTTTCCATAATTTGTAAGTAATTGCAGAGCTCCTTTGAGCACTTCCCTTTCAGAATTAGTTGTTATTCAGACGCGTTTTAGAAAACCTTAAATTATGTTTATTGGTACGATATTCAGTCTTTAATGAACTAATGCGCTGTGAATTATGCAGCACGCATTTTCACATCGATTGCTGTCGGGTCAAAGGTCAAACGCATTAGCGAATTAAGCATAAAGAGCCATTGTCGCCACACTTCCCACAGTCCGCCGATCAATTCAATATCTATCTGTGATAAATTCGGAAAATTTCGTGTGGCTGTACGGCGGAAAATGGAAATAAAATTAGCGCACTTCAAATCGGGCGTATCGGTTGAATCGGTTTTTAAGGGGGAAGCTGAGGGAGAGGCAGCACAATAAATAAAGCGCAGCGAAAGTGCGACATCAACGACAAAATAACAATCCCATAAATCACTTATTGGCGATTCGGTGGGCGGGGGTCATGTCGGAATATAGATATATGTATATCCCTATACAGGGTGATAAATTGCTCCGTCACACACACACTCGCACACACACACACAAAAAGAGCACAACACGCGAACACAAAACAAAACAATGATAACTGCAGAATACATCGCATTGGCATCTATGCATCTGCCAGATACGCAATTTCATTTAGTAAATTGCACTGAACGCATTCAAACGTAACTGTTTTTTTTCTTTCCTTTTGTTTCCACCAAACCGGGAAAATCACCCCCTCACTCGTCGCGATTTTTCCACGGGTCGGTAGGAAGTTAATTGACAGGCGGCAATTAAACAGAATAGAAGTTTTTCCTCGAATCTCGATGTTGCACGGGCAACAAGTGGCTGTCGCCGAAATGTTGCCAGCCGAGAAGGCCATTCCCGGATTCCCTCGTTTTTTCATCGGTTCCTTCGGCAGCCAGATCGTAAAAGAAATCCCGACAAATAAGACATTTGGGCAAGCTCTTCTCCAAGCGCAATGTTGCAAGGGGCACGGTCAACATGTTGCACACTTCGAAGGATGTTGCGATTGCGAACAGTGGAACAAAAATATTATTGATATCCTTGTGTTGCATATTAGCTTAGATTACGGTAATTAAACCATCATTTTATCACTTTTTTTAACACCTTTGTTTTAGCGCCTCTGTGCCCCCAATGGAGTGATTACCACGTTTAATGCTCCGTTCTGAAAGTTTGTTGACAAACCCAAAAAGATTGGGCAACAAAAAACGTTGCAAAACTCGACACCAGTCTCTCATAAAAGTAACGAAATGCGGCTTAAGTGCCCCCGTCTAGTTTCTCCGCCCATCCCCATTTGACCTTGCTGACACACGATAAAAAGAGGTTCTCTGTTGCTTAACGGTAGTCGCTCTCCGTCTCTGTCCCTCTTCACTGAAAATACACTTTGAACTTAAAATACATTTTGCCAATTAGTTTTAATAATAAAATATACCTCTGATTTGTTGAAAAAGAGATCAAACCTTCTGGTTAGAAATAGTTATCTGAACCAAGTGTGTCTCTTACTCTGTTGCTTTGCAACATTTGCCATCTGCTGGCAACATTCGAAATGCACTTACAGTAGTAAGCGGCAACATGCAAGTAGCAACACACTGTGGAGCCAATCAGAATTAAAGATTTCAACTTGACCTGATTGATTGTATCTACATTACCCCAATAATATTGTGAATGTAAATACTTTTTAGAAACAGATTGATTTAAGATTTAAGGAACCAGTAAAATGTGAATTTAATGTAGGCAACACACTAAATTCGAATGAACTTGGTCGCAAACTAAAAGTTTTTCTAGATATGTTGTTATTTTTTAATAATTAAATTATTACAAATATCCAGAAGTTGTAATCATTTAACTCCTACATACCAAATCCCAGTGAAATCGGTCGCCGTATTCTGGTTTTCACAGTCAAATTCAGTTATGGTGACCGGTCGTTCAGACCCACTGTTCCGACGCCTGCGCTGGCGCCTCTGCTGCTGCCGCTGCCTCTGCCTCGGCCGGCGTCGACGCTGTGGCGGCATTTCGACTTGGCTTGTGGACGCTCCACCAAATGCGCCGCTTTCAGTTACGTTTCGACGGCCAAACGCGTCGAGTGCTCCGCTCTCAGCTCTCCGCTCAGCCACAAATCCATAGCACACTCCCTCGCGCTCTCTTCACTGTCTGTATTAACGGTCGTGGCGCGTCGCGTGCATGTGTTAGTGTGCCAGTTAAACAATGAGAAATTGGTAATAACAAACAACATAATCGTACTTTTCTCACAACATTTGTCTACGAAAACTAAAAACTACAAACTACAAATATTTTGGGACTGCTGAAATTCCCTAAACACCAAAAATAAACTGGCGGCATTCTTGAATTTTTTTTTCTAAACTTTTTTTTAGCGTGTGACAAAAAAATATAAAAATATACCTCCCTCTCTCTCTTTCTCGCTCTGTTGTTTTTGTTGAAGATTTCAAATGAGTCACGTGTAAAAGTTATTTCATTGTCCATGATAAACTCCATGAAAACCTTTTAGAAAACTCCCTCTTAATAGAGTCAGGAATAAGTGCATTTAACGTTTATAAAAAAAAAAAACTCACCTGAAAAACAAGAAAAATGAAACGGAAAACAGGTTTTTGGGCCCGCTTCGCTGCCAACGTTGTTGTTGCCAACAGTGAGCGCTGGAAATTGACTCACACTTGCAGCTGGGACATGGAAAAAAATATAAACATAAATAAGGAAAACCTGGAAAAGTTTCCACAACTAATCCAATATGTTGGAGAAAAACACAAAACTGGCATAAAAAGATCCTCAAATTTCACAACCATATTGTGCCGGTTTCTTTTCCCTTTGTCTGGCGAAAATAGCCTTTATGTCCCAAAACAAAAGTTAATTTCGTTTGCTGTGGCTTTTGACAAAAGTTTTAATGTGATTCAAAATTGGTTTAAGCCGTTAACAAGCTAAACTAAAATAAAAGTTGAAAAATTATTATATTTTTAAAGTTTTTATGTTCGATCTGTTGTAGTTTTACAGCTAAAGTTTTAAAATCATAAAAGTTGTCCGTTTATTTTTTTAATTGTTTAATTATGTTTTTTTTGTGTTTACTCATTTTTGACAAGACAGTATTAAAAAACTGTTCTTCCTTTCAATAAATTGATTGGTTTGCAAAGTTCCGATTTTTTAATGGGATATTAACTAATCAACTTAAAAGCGAAAATGTAATTAAAAATATTCGTCCCAATCAAAACTCAAAGTCAAATCATTTGACATCTGCATTAATAATTCACGAATATCAAGTGGAAAACTTCGAAACTTTTATGCAACTTGAACAGATTCCCAAATTTCTTCCACCCACACATTGCGGCCCGTTCTTGGAAGTTTCCTCTTATAATTAGCGTTTTCGAAACTTTATGAATATTTGAAGTCGGCTCTCCAAGAATTTTGTTGCGATGTCTCAATTTGCCAAAAGCAAGACAAGAAGTTCTGCTGTGCTTAATATTTTCCCCAGGAATATTTTGCGTGTCGCAAACACATACGCCGTTTTCTATAAGAAAAAGTCAAGGCCTGGCCTAAATATCGATTACCAAGTCACTGTAATAACCGTAAGCCAAATGAGGGGGCCGCAAAGTAATCCCGCTAAGGAAAGTGGTAGGGATTAGTGGCAAGACAAGCTCACGGATAAAGTTTTCACTTAATTCTATACTCATTTTTAAGTCATTATGAAATTTGTTCTACAAATATGGAAGCTGTTGTTACTATACAAAAATGATTCATACATTCCTCTAAGAATTGTTTATAAGTCATGTTTAAGTTTGCATAATAGTTGCATAAAATTATTGTTTATTAAAAAGTATTTTTAAAAAATGCTTAGAATTCCGAACTAGAACTTCTCTTTGTCGAGGGACAACTGTACCGCAGAACTTGTTGCAACTCAAGGACACTTCGCATAGGTGCAACTCTAGTGTGTGCGAGCGGGATAGGGCTACTTGGGGGGCTAAGAGTGATAAAGACAGCTAGTTGGAGTCCGATTCATCGAAGTGAGCAAAACAAATAAGTTCGCATTGCCCTAAGAAATCGCTGGCTCTCTCTGTCGAAGAGATAAGCGATATGATATTGTTTTTCCTCTCTCTGTCTGTATTACCTATCTTAAAGCCTAAAGATAACGATCTGCGGGGAGTATTAATCTATCGATAATATTATGAAAACGAGGACTTCTACTTAAGCATTCAGGTGCTTCGTTCTTTGCTTGTCTTGTTCAAAATCCCCTGTCTCGTATTGTCCCCTATATTTCCCGCTCTACGTGTTTCGACTGCTGAGAGCCCCGCAATTTCCGTTACAAAAACTGGCCAACATGTGCGAAGTCGACAGCGTAGCAGGTTATTTTTCCTCTTTTTTTTTTGTCTTGGGTGCCGCCAACTTTAGAATGCAGAGACAAGGCACATACAACACTTGCTGGCGCGTTTGCACCACCGAAAACCATTCGTGTGCGACGCGTCAGCGGGGTCTTCTCACCCATAAATGCCAACATTTGCCATTTGAATTAGAAATGCTAAAGTTATGACAAGTATCAAATGCAGATGAACTTATCGAGCTTAAAAAAAAATATATGCAAATCCGTTTAAGACGGTGTTAAAATAAAAAAAAAGTTAATGCCAAATAAGTGCTATGAAAACCATAAAAAAACGATTTTAGTCATACTTATTACTAATTTAATTTTCCATTCTCCATTTTTGCAGATCCAGACACAAAAACAGCTAACTGAATAAAAACATTAATGAACGAAAAGTGTTAATTAAATAATAATAATTTGTGCGATCGCAGGCGGCGAAACAAACTGCAATTTTTTAAACATTTTTTTCGTGTGCAACTGTAAACAAACCAAAGAAGTTTAAAGAGAGCAATCAATTTGCGAGCGGTACACAAAAGCGATAAAAATGGGTGAACTGCGAAAATCGCTGTCGCTGCCTCTGCCGCTGCCCTCAGTCGGCGTCACTTTGTCACTGCTCCTCTGCTGCTGCTCTTTAATAGGTGAGTAACGGATAAACCCCTCCCCAAGTCCCCAATTTATTGTTTTCTGTGCGGTATTACAATTAGAAATAGGAACCTAGGGCACAACTTGGTTGTATGTGGCTAAAGAAAGCCACATATATCTCCCTTTAACTTTTTTTCTCTTTCTATTTCAATTAATTGAAACTTTTCAGAGTGTTTTTAAAACAAAAGAAAAAAAACAAATTCTCATTATATTATTCCTTCCCTTTATTATCACCATCACTTAGGTCGTAACTATCATTCTGAAAATTGACAGTAATAAGACTAATATACTTTTGTAATAAAAGACAACGTTTTAACTCACAATTATAAGTAATATGAGTAATAAAGGTCTTCCAACTAAGGACCGACTTAGCTCAAATCCGCTTATCAGTCGACAGGGTCATATCAAATTTTCAGTTTTTTTTTTTTGTGATCCCACGAGATCTAGGCAGACAAATTACCTGAACACTTGCCGGTTACCTGATGCCATAAAGCGACCGTGAAACGGACGTTAAGCAAATAGAGATCCGAAAAACATATAAAACAACATCTCAGGAAAACTAAAATCGTCATGCTCCTTATCGCAATCCCGAAATTCTAGAGTCAATATTTGCCTTACCTCAAAGCAGACTATTCGAGCTAGTCAAATATCGTAAATTTTTCAGTGAACATGAGAGCATTACAGACGCAGATACTCGCAGATACCTACACCTAAAATTCCGGCACCTGACTTTTAGGCCGTAAAATTTGTGCAAACACTCGCCTAGACAATTAAAGAATATTGCGCAAGAGTCGCCTATTAAATAAGTCTCGGTTGCTATGAGGTATAATCCTCAAGTTGGGAATCGGATTCTAGATTATACAAATTTATTTGATTTATTTGGAATATTTTTAAATTTGGAACTTCAGAGCTTTATTAATATAAAATAAATCTATTAATAGAGAATCCCACCAAAAATATATTCATTTTATAATCATCTAGAAGGCACTAAGATTCATTTTTTAATTTTAATTTAAAAATTGATTAGCAACAGTTTAAACACTCAGACAGTTCATAGGGTCGCAATTTCTCAGGGCAAAAGTCGAGAAGAATCCAAAGTCGACTTCCCAGCATTTACCGCATCCGGTTTGGACCACAAAAGCCGGCAGACGACCCCAAGCGAGGCCTCTTTAGTGTTCTAATACCGCAGAAAGTCGAATTTAATTAACGCTATGTCTTCCCCTTTCGAATCCCATCTTTTCCTATTTTCCCAGAGAAAAGTTTTCGAAGGGAATTACGAATCAGCAAGAGAGCAGATACAAATCGGTAAAGTGATTTTGGGATGAGTCAGCCGGTAGTTGATCATCTTTAGTTGGATTAATTCTTCTTGCGGAGAACTCTTTTGTAGAAAGCGAGAAAATGTCTCCTCCCTTTCTTTTGTGGTCATCGCGCGCTAATTTCGAGCAGTAAACTTAAAACTTTATGTTGTGCAGTTCGTTTTTTGTTTGCCGCGCTAGAAACGGGAGCTTGTTCTATATATTTTTTTTTGTGAGAAAAACACTTAGAAGAAAAGCTGAAAAAATGGCTGAAAAAAGTGGGTCTTAAGTGGAAAAAGGGTGGACCTAGTCCTAATTAGCTAAGCCCGAAACTGGCTTAATTGGGTGCCGCTTTCACTTCGGACACTTCGCCTGGGAAAATTGTCAGTTAGAGATGAATGGAAAACTCAAAGGGGACAGAGCGGTCCAGTAGAATCTTAAGAGTTGCACTTCTGCTTTTGGATAGTCCCCAAGACAAAATTAAAAATTGTTTTTTGCGCATATTTTTCAATAATTTACACATCAACGTTAAACGAATTAGCAGATAAAATAATATAATTAAATTAAGATCAAATTAGTCAACGTATATTTCGTATAGAGTGCCAATATTTATATGCTTAGTGTTGCCGTAAAAAATAAACTCATATTTTGAATTTCTTAAAGAGCTAGCATATTTCTGCTTACTGTGTTCATTTGCTGCATTAAAACAGCGTGCAATTTGAAAGGAAGCTGAGCATTTTAGAGGGGGTCTTGAGTTTAAAACACAATCCCATGAACTCGACTTATACCTCTTCCTCGAACTGAGGACATTCTCAGAATTCTCTGAGTCATATCTTTTTGACTTCTTAATAAGTCTCTCACGCCGAGAAGAGCATCCCCCTCTTGCCCCACAAGCCACCTTTATATCGAGGAGAAAGGGACAGTTAGATGGCTGCAGAAAGAGATGGAGAGATGGGGGGGCACGGATGATACGGAGGGGGAACATCAGGTTGCTGCTCAAGTTGTTGCCTGAATGGGACAGCTTATGGTCAAGCGGACAACTCTTGAGTTCTTTCCTTTCTTGTCTTTTGTACCACTTGACAAGACAAAGATGGAGCTCGCCGGCGAAAGAGAGGGGTAGATCGGGAGCGAAAGAGAGGGGCAGATGGGGTAAGGCAGGAAAAGGAAATTCCAATTATGTTGCAAAGTCTGGCCGTGCGTAGAAAAGAATTGTTGCCGCTTCTTTCTTTCCTCTTCCTCTTTCATCATCTAACCCTCGCTTTCCGCATTTCCCCACGAGTTTCCTTGTTTTAATTTTAATCAAGTAATGCCCGGAAAGCCTTGCATTTCGCTTTAACTAATAAAACAAAACATTTCGGACGGGACAGCCAAACAAAAGGAGCCAAGTGGACTGCAGAGATGATAATGAGCTATGCTTATATCTCTCTTTCTATACAGCTATGTAGGTCCCAATCTCTTGAAAAATCTTCACGGGTGCCTGATTTTTCAATGCAACCGTGAACCCAAAAACTTTACCATAATTAGCAGGCATTGTTGCAGAAAACCCAGGCCAATTTAAATTAACTGCAAATGAGCTGGAAACCTGGAGCAGATAAATTTTTAAATTTTAACAAAAGTGATGCTTAAAAAAAACCTTGTGACTTTATTTATCAGGGTTGCAGCTTTATTTAAATTAGTTAAATCAGGCCTCAAGTTTTTTCAATATTTAAAGTATTTCAAGCTTAGTTATCACATAATTATGTGTAGGAAAAAGTAAAATTAATTTGAGAAAAAAAAGAAAAAATGTTGAAGGAATAATGTAAGAATTTAATTAGTGTGAAAAATATGGCAAGACACATGTTATTACATCTTGTGGAATGCACTAAAGATGGGTAAGAGAGAGTTGGACCAAAAAGAAAAAAAAAAAAAAAACAAGGGGTTAAGCCCGCATAATCCCAATGAAGCTTAAACAATGAGTCGGAGCAAGACAAGATACATTCCAATAAGTACGTAAAACAAAAACGACAGCCCTGCAAACAAAGAATGCACAGAAAATACAAATGAAGGATTGTTGGAAGGCAGCCGACGACCCTCGCTTTTCCCCACTTGGGTTTTCCCTTCTTCAAGTATGATAAATGAATTTTAAATTAAAATTCAGATGAAACACACAACAAAAAACGATTGGGCCACATGTGTGTCCCAGGTCCACCACCCGCATTTCACCCAATCTGGGATTCCACTTGACACTCCCGAAAGCTAATAAGTATAACTTTGTGTTGCGAGTTAAGAGTACCTTTTTTTTTACTAAGAATCTTTAAAAATATTTAATTAATCATACAACATATCAAAGAGAAACATGCAAAAGCCACCTGACGCTCCTGAATTATTAAAATGTTGGCAAGAGATCGAGATCTCGAGGCCCCGACATCCAAAAGACAGGAAACGACGTCCCGAGACGTGTTGGGCCTATTAACCAGCCCAAAATTGAGTTATAAACGATTGGCAGCCGTTCGATTCGGGACCCATTCGTTGCGGCCTACGGATTCCTGCCTGTTTTTACCATCCTATCGGGCCCGAATCATCTGGTAGGTGCTCAGGTAGCCCAACTACATACACAACTAATTGCTAATTGGATTATGTCTTGCTAGAATGGGAAACCCATGGAGGGTAACCGGGAAGAAAGGGAGATGCATTTAGAGGCGGAGAAGTGCGGGGGTTAGGTCATTGATATCCGCCTTTGGTCGTAATCCAAGCGGTCATCGGTAGCTAGACGAAACTCGGGGTTGTTGTTGGAATGTTTTTAATTGACTTGCCCCATTGCAATTGCATAACAATGAGACCCACCACCACACCCCCTCTGCCTGCCCTCCATGTGTGTGTGTGTGTGTGTTTGCCCGCCTGATTGCGGCGTCAATTGTCAATTTTTGTTACCTTCTGTGCTCGTCCGCTCGTCGGGTTCTTCTAATTGGTAATGCAAAGCGCATGGCCAGGTCCCAACTTCTGACGTCTCCTTGTCCGTATGTCCGTCTATCTGTCTGTCCGTCCGTCCGTTTGTCCGTTTGGGTCCTTTCTTTTGTTTCCTCTCTCTCTGCCGTAAGCCACACTCCTTATTGTTCCGCTTTTTGCTTTTGTTCTGTCCCTCAGCCATTTAATCAATTCGTTTCTATTTGCATTTTAAAAGTGTACTTCTGTTCTTTAAAAGGGAGGTGTCCGCTTAAGAGAGAGATGGGTACGGTTAGTTAGTCAAGAAAATAGGGAGTTTAATATTTTTAAGTACTTGAGGTATATTATAAAAACTAATTTTCTCGAATATAATTAAATCCTGGGAACTTGATTTCTTTAAGAAGTTTTCGAGCGCAACGTTGTAGTTGATTTTTGGTTCTGGTCGGGGGTCGAATTGTCTTCCTTTGGTTTCGCTACAAAGTCGTGCTACACTTTGCATACCCTTGATCCTCGTAATCCCCCCTCGAGCCGCCACTCATTAAAGTTCCCACACTGCAAATTGAGTGACTTCCACTCCCACGAACCCCTGCACCTTGGCAGCCCAGCTTCAGCTGCTCGTCCTCCCAAAACCGATCCCATCCGCAGCACTTATCTTGCCTCGCCGCTTTGTTTTTCTGTTTCTGTGTTTTTTTTCCCACCATTAAGCCTCAACTATCAGCGGCAGCTCATCAAGATGTGCACAAAACAACGAAAAGCGGCAAAAAGTGCAAGCATAAGGC